GGTTTGATCTTCTTGCAGTCCATGGGACTCTCAAGGGTCTCCTCCAGCACCATAATCCAAAAGCATCAATTCTTCGGCGATCAGCCTTCTTTATGGTCCAGCTTTCACTTCCACACATCACTACTGGGAAAACCATAGCTTTAACTATATGGGCCTTTGTTGGCAATGTGATGTCTCTGCTTTTTAAGATGCTGTCTAGGTTTGTCATTGCTTTTCTCCCAAGAAGCAGGCGTCTTTTAATTTCATGGCTGCTGTCACCATCTGCAGTGATCATGGAGCCCAATAAGGTAAAATATTTCACTGCCTCCATTTCTTCCCCTTCTATTTGCCATGTCCAATAGGGTAGATGACTTTGAAGCGGGTTGGACTAATTTCATGGAGGATAAGGCTCTTCGTGGGTATGGGTTATAATATTTGCAAGGAATTTCCATGGTCAAAGGCACTATGTACTGGATGTTAGTTGCTTGGGATGAACAGTGGGAGATGGCTAATTGTGTTCATGTCCTATTTGAGGGCTTCTCAGAGGCACGTGGTTGTCCACTCTTGGAAACAGGATGCTGGGTAAGATGGGCCTTTGGTCTGATCAGGCCAAATGCTCATCTCGTCCAGCCTCCTGTTCTTACAGTGGCCAATAAGAGAGTCTCAGGTAGCCCAGAGGCAGGGCATGAAAGCGGCAGCCTTCTTTCTCTGTTACTCATAAGTAAAGCCCTGCTGGATCAGGCCAGGCCAATGGCCCATCAAGTTCAGCATTTGTTCTAACAATGGCCAAACAGCTAGGGATGCCAGAGAATTCTGTTGGAAATGGAATTAGGAGTGGATGTCGAGACGGTTTGCTCATTCACCCAGGGTCAAGAATGGAAATCACTTAAGTTAATATGAGCAGTGTGTAGTAGTATCATCATCATCATCATCATCATCATCATCATCATCATCTGTTGTTGTTAAGTTTGCAACTTTAACTAAATAATTCTGTTTCCTGCATTATTTTTAATACTTCCTACCCACTGAAGTTAATTATGCATTTGATTCTATAACTGCATTCATTTCAGCCATGGTGGATAGCAAATTATGTAGGTTTTAGTGGAAGCTGAACTGCAGCAGAAAGGAAGCAGTCCAGATTGCCATGAACACTGCACAGGATGGAAATTGCTTCCTCCTTACCCCTCTTGGTATATCTGGCTGGCAAAGGACACAGATGGACAGACGGGGACACGCACACACACACACAGAGTCACTAGTTAGCCTCACACAGAAGAAAACCCTAGAATCTATTTCATTTAAACTTCTGCAGGTAACTGGAAGCACAAAGATCATTCTGACCGATCCCACACAAGATCTGATAACCTGCTGCTTCAGACTGAAACTGTCCGTGTCAAAGAGAGTGTGGTGGGATGGGGGGGGGAGGAGATGCCAATCTGGGCAGAAATGGAGGTGTGGGGGAAAGGGAGGTCTTATTTGGGGTCTGGGATAAGCAGCATTGATTCCGAATCCAAAAGCGATAGATAGTCAGGTCTCGGGAAAGCCTGATTAAAGCTTAGCTGCCTTCCTTCTCCAAGAGATGGATTAAACTGCTATCACCTTGATTAATTTTTCAGAGGATGCAGCTGTTAAGGGGGGGAGAGAAGGGGGAGAAGGAGGAGGCAGGAGTTCAGAAACAGCCTGCAGATGGATAGCACAAGCATATTATGAGCAGCATTTTACAGGTTAATACCACTGTTAGGTCCCCTCCGATAAGCTGGCTGGCATCACTGTCTTCCTTGGTAGCAAAATGCATTTCAGCATCCTACCTGGATCCTATTGGAATATTGATGTCTGCCTAATTGCAACTCCAAGGAGGATGAGAGGGAGAGGGAAGCAGAGTAGGAAAAAGGAGAGGCAGGCTGGGGTGAGGAGTGGGGGAATTGGTTTCACAGGCTTGTGGACAAGAGGAATGTGCACTGGAAAACCAGATTCTTCTGGGATATTGTACTGTCTTTGTGGTTTTGGAGCTTCTTCCTAGGCTTCTGCAACTGCCCTGCAGAACAGAGAACCCTGAGGTCTCGGTTCATCACTTAATTGCATTCCTTTCCTTTTCAATAAAGTTCCCAACTCTTAGCATTGTGAAGATAAGATACAAAATGAAAGCAAGGTAAGAGGGGGGGGGGATACAGTATATATAGTCCTTATGATGGTGAAGCTAAGATAAAATTAAAAACAAGATACGGTTAAAAACCAAGTTTCTAGTCCTTATGATTGCAAAGAGAAGATTAAAATAGAAATAAGATGCAAGTAAAGTTTCTAGTCCTTATGATTGTGAAGACTCTGCCTGGCAAAATAACAAAGCTGCAGCGACTCCAGCTCTAGGAACAACAGGGAGTAGGGAGACGGATGCTGGTGGCTCCTTCTCCAGATTTCCCTGCGCCTCTTCAAAATGCCCAGAAGCAAATCTCCTGGCTGCCCACAGAAGCAACAGAACTACCATAAAAGCACAGCCATCCTTTTGTTATCTTATGCCTACTTTTCATAGAATCATAGGAGTTAGAAGGAACCTCAAAAGGCCATCTAGCTGAACCCCTTGCCAATGCAGGCACTCCCCTGCTACAACTTCCCCAACAGGCAGTCGTCCAGCCTCTTCTCAAAAGCCTCTGTCAAAGGAGTGTCAGGCACCTCCTGCCATCAGGAAGTTCTCTCTAATGCTCAGTTGAAATTCCCATGCATGTCATTTGAACCCGGTTCAGGCCCTGCTCTTTGGAGCAACAGAAAACAAGTTCGCTCCATCATCTAAGTGGAAGACCTGAAAACCGGTGTGGGGAGGTAGGGCTTTGGTCCTTCTGAGGCTGCTGAGCTACAACTCCCATTGGCTGTGCTTGTTGGGGCTGATGGGAGTTGTAGTTCAGCAACATCTGAAGGGCCAAAGGTTCCCCACACTCAGGTGCATTAATGACAAAGTTTCAAACAAGGATGTGCTCTCTCAAGCCCACATTCGCAGTATGTTTGCACTCCTGTCTCAGCAACGTCTACACTGGCTTGGTCATGTCTGCAGACTGGAAGGCGGCAGGATCCCCAAGGATATGCCCTACAGAGAGCTGGCTTCTGGCACCAGGTCACTTGGCAGACCAACTTTGCACTGCAAAAAATGTTTGCAAACGTGACGTGAAGGCTAGTAACATCAATTGTGCTGTGGGGGAGACCCTTGCAGACGAATGCAGCACCTGGAGACAGACAAGTCAGGTTGCGCATCCATAGCAGTGACCAGAGGAGAAATGACTGCTGGGAGGAGTGCAGAGAGAAGAAACGCTATGGTGCATCTGCAGCAGCACAACTGGACGCCTTCATCTGCCCCAGCTGCAACAAAACATGTCTCTCCCGCATCGGTCTTTACAGCCACAACGGGCACTGCAACCTTCCAACAGTTTGACTTCTCCCCCAAAGGAACACTCTTCCATTGTCTCTCAATACAGGCAGATGCCAACAAGCCTCAGTAGAAATAACATTGGCTGCATCCCTGTGAAAAAACCAGGCAGGACCAATTTAGGTCCAAATTTTTTAACAGGTCTGCTCTTGAATTGGATGCACCCCAGGATCTCCTGTTCCCCCCGTCCCACCCCTCACTGCCTAAAACTTTGATATCAACAAACTGGAAGGTGAAGAAGCCTTAGTGCCCTTTTGAACTTTTGAATGCATGGCAAGGTCATATCCTGGCACTTTGTCTAGCCCACAGTAGAGTCCTGCTGCAGAAAAGCCAAGGAGAAAGAACAGGACCTACAAGTTTGCTGCTTAAAAACTTATTTTCACAGTAACTGTTAAGGCAAAACCTTTCTGACAGCTTGGGCCCCTCAATCAGAGTGCAATCTCCATCAAGGTGTGTGCTGTTGACTGCTAATTAGTTTTGAACTTAAAACAAGGAAACCTCTAGGGAACAGGGACAGGGCTGTAGCTCAGTGGAAGAGCATCTGTTGTTTTTAATGTATACTTGACTTTCTTCAGTAATGTTTTCTTCTGGATTACTTTACTTGATTTTTTTAATGTAGGTTGCAAACTGCTTTGAATTTTTTTTATTAAAAATACAAAGCGGTATAGAAATTAAATGAATGATAATTCCCAGATTCTCTAAGCAGGGCTGGGAGAGACTCCGGCCCGAAACCATGGAGAGCTGCTGCCAATCAGCGTGGACAACACTGAGCTGGATGGACCAATTGTAGCTTAGTCCTAGAAGAACTACAATACCCAGCAAGCTTAAGAAACTACAGTTCCCTGGATTATTTGGTGGGGCGGAGGAGTCATTGCCTTAAATGTACAATGTGTACACAGTCTCTGCCTCTCTCACACAGGAACCTGGCCTCGTACTCCCCCATCTCTGTGCTGCACGGCAAAACTGCTTTTGAAACTTAGGGGCTTTCAAAGCAGGTTGCAAATATGTCATTGGGCATGTATGCAGTTCTGCTCTTCAAAGAAATAACTGTAATTTTAAAAATCCTGTTGATCACGCCCAACTCCCCCGAGTGCGACTGAAGTAGCTGTTTGTATTCCATACGGAAGTCTTGAAAAGAAAATGTTTTACTATAAAAACCCAAACTCACAGGCAGGAGGGAGCAGAGGGGGGAAGAGAGAAAGAAAGGAAAACACCAAGGAAGGAAATGGGACATAGTAATTTTTGTAATCTGAACTCTTGCTAAGCAGACAGGGGGCGGGGGAAATCTTACAGAATGATGTTCTCATCCGGTACTAAATCGTTCATAAAGGAAGGAACTTACCCAGATCTTATCAAGTCTGGGGGTGGGAGCAGGGTGCAGGGGTCAGCATAAATTAAGAGCAATTCAAGTTAAGGGACACCTTCCGTAGCCAGAAAGCTGAGAATGGAAGAACCCTTTGAGCTTTTATGAAAGGAAACTGCAGCAGCGGCATGACTCGGGGAGATCCTGCTACTTCCCACCCCCAAACTCCTCTTTCTCCATCATAAACACCAACTGTCCCAAGCTTCAGAAAGTATTATGATTTTTTTTTTAAAAAAAGGAACCTACCTTTTGGGGACTCACTTCGAGATTTCTTGCTCTCCAGGGGACACTCGCTGCTGCTGTTGGGTGAACACGCTCTTCTCTTGCCTAAAACTTCGTCTGGAAGAAAGGGGGGTGGGGAGGAGAGGGAGAAAGAGAGAGAGAGAATTAGATAGAAAGGCACACTCTTCTTTCCATCACCGCCACCCTTTCATCCAGAGACTTTGGGGGGCATGTTGAACACACACACACAAATCTGGCTGAGCGAGGGAGGAGGGAGGGAGGGTGGGTGGCGGAGTGGAAGTCATATTGAGCTCACGGATATGCTTTCCTAATCATGCAGCCCAAAGGGACCCGGCAACCCTTCAGCACGCTGATCAATGGCCACCGTTTCCAGCCATAAATTTGGAAATCTAGTTTATTTCCTTACTGAACTGCATCATTTGATCGGCCGCCTTTCGTCCCCCGGGTGTGTCCTCGCTTTTCATACCCTGATACAAAACAGCTGGGGTCTTGGCGGGTGGTTGGGGAGGGGGGAGAAAGAGAGAGAAAGAGTATTCACATCCCCCTTCTCTCTCACACACACACAAGCACCCTGCTCCTCAATCTTTCTTCACAGTCTCTCTCTATCTCTATCTCCACCCCTTCGCTCTTGGCGATCGCAAGATCTTCAGCAATCTTCTCCCCGCCAGACTGTGCGAGAAGCACTCAGCCTCTGCATCCGTGCAGTCCTAGCAAGCCAACGCAAAATATCTAATATACAATTACAACATCTCTCTCTCCCCCCCACCCCCCTCCTCTCTTTCTCAATTCCCCCCTCCTGCTTTTCCCTTCTCCTCCTGTACAGATTTAAAAATCAATATCCTCCCATAATAATGCTGGGGAGACTGTTTGTCATCGTCGCAAGCATCAAATTCTCATCTATCAAAAAGGCTCTGCCTTAAAGGGACTGCAACCCCTCCCCCCCCACAAAAAACACCCTGTGCAAAACAAGTATCATATTGCGTGTGTGTGTGTGTGTGTGTGTGTGTTGCAATTCTGAAAAGGCTCAGAACATCACTTAATAGGAGCAGAACTCTGCTTCCTGACAATTTCAGCTGCTGCTTTTTTTTTTTAATGTAAACAACCCCCAACCAAGCTTCTGGTCCTTATGACTAATGAAATCCCAGGATGCAAAGCGGTGGGTTGAGAAATGGGCTTCAGCGTTTCATGTACCTCTGTGTCCCCGCCCCCAATCCCAACATGACCAAAGCGAGAATTAATTATGCACAATTATGTTAAAAAAAGATGCACACAAAATAAAATTCATGCCATTTTGCTCAAGTCGTCTAATTTATCTTTAGATGCAGAACTGAGCTTTTCCTGGCATGGAATTCAGCTCGCTCGGGTGGCATTTATTTATTTATTTAAGCACAAAGTCCATACAGCTCTTGTGCATATTTCTTTGCAACTGGTCACGAACCACATGAAAAACTACCCTGCTTGGATTGCGGGGACGTTGATTGTATTGCTGGTTGCAGTCCTAATTGCCTGCTGTTTAACAACCACTGTGTTGCTCAGATTGGGCAGCCATTGCAAATTAGGTGAAACAGTATCTCTTGATGGAACAGTTTCTGTGAGTGTGGGAGTATGTAAACTTTCCTGTGGATCAGAACACTTAATCGGGGGGAAGTTTTCCCTCTGCTACAGAGTTTTGGGCAGCGAAACCTTTTGCCCTGTTTTTCCCCCTAATGGCTGGCAGTTTTATCTCTTTGGACTGATTTTTGAATGAAACCTTCATCTATATAACAATATAAGAGCCTTGAAGCTGCCTCAAGCCAATGACCAATCTAGTCCAGCATCCTGTTCTCTCAGTGACCAACCAGCCTGTGGTAAAACCCACCAAGCAGGATCTGAACCCAAGATCTCTCCTCTTGCAGTTTCCAGCAACTGGTATTCTGAAGCATTAATGCCTCTGCAGTTTACTTTTTTAAAAAGGAAAAGGCTACTGAAACCTCTCGCCCACCAACTAGGGATAGCTAGTTCTGTCTGTTTCTCATTTTTTTTCTATCATGAAGTAACTTCTCCCCTTTTCCATATCAGTTTGCGGAAACCCTCAAGGAAAATCCACCACCGTTTTAGTGCACGTTTTTCCTATTGTGCACATTTACATGTGCACACATTTTTGCAAGGGGATTTCCCATGATGTGATGCAATTTTTGCACATTCTTTTGACTAATACATGCATTTTATGCACCCTTCGCATCATGACTTGGCCAGAGGACTGCACAGAGAAATTGGGAAAAGTGCAAACTTCTAAGGGGGGCTGTGTTTTGGCTTCTGTCTGGTTTTCGGAAAGCGCATGATTTGGGAGATACTTCTTTTAATGTGAACTTAATCAAATTCCTCCCTCATCCCTGCTAACAACTGAGATGCTGACAACGAACTTTTTGTTCTTGTTTTTATTATGCATTTTGTGTTTCTATGTTGTGTTTCACCCTGAAATCTACGAATGAAGAGTGGTATACAAATTTAATAAATAAAATAACTACTAGAGTCAATAATAAATTTATTTAAATATATAGTCAAGTACTCTTTTTTTTTTTTTAAGGCCAGTCTGAGGCTTAGCCTCTATGGGAAACAGGTGAGTATGAGAGCCAGTGTGGTCTAGTGGTTAAGAGCAGTGGACTCGTAATCTGGTGAACCGGGTTCGATTCCCTGCTCCTCCACATGCAGCTGCTGGGTGACCTTGGGCCAGTCACACTTCTTTGAGGTCTCTCAGCCCCACTCACCTCACAGAGTGTTTGTTGTGGGGGAGGAAAGGAAAGGAGAATGTTAGCCGCTTAGAGTCTCCTTCGGGTAGTGATAAAGCGGGATATCAAATCCAAACTCTTCTTTGGGGAATTTCTCCCTGCCATGCAAGCTTGGATTCTCCCAAACCTGGACATCCCGCTGGCCGGCACGTGCAACACACTTGCCCCTAGAAACGGCATCCATGACAACAGGACGGTTTTTGCCCTATGCCCCACCAGCATGGGGCTGGCTTCCACCCTCCCTAAACCGTAAAAGATCAATGGACCGGCAGGTGAAAGGCGCCCAGTTGGGGTTTCGTGCCACGGCATGCAGTTGGCTCTGCCCTTTGCCGGCAGGAATCAGCAGAACAAAGGGAGAGAGGGGGGGAAAGGTCATGGGAATTACAGGGTGTAATTTAAACAGAGGGCAAGCCATCAGCACTTGGGGAGGGGGAGAGAAGGAAAAGTGCTTGGAGCCTAGAGACTCAGGAGCCAACATCTGACTGGTTAGTTTAAAATCACTGTGGAATGTCCTGCAACCGGCAGACCCTCGTTGGGTCTTGCTGCCCCTGCTGGGCTCCTCTGCCCACAGTCCCACAGCCAGAAGGAATGCCTTAGGTGTGTTTTCCCCTCCTAATATAGGAACTCCTCCCCTGCCCCACAGTCTGCAAAACACCACATGCATTTTCACTCCTAAAATAGGCTCAATGACGCTAGTCCCTATGGGAGTGCCGTAGCCTGCAAAATGCCCAAGGTAAATTTTCAGTACTAAAATAGCCCCAATGACGTTAGTCCCTGTGGCAAGTTCCCTCCCACCCGCCCCAAAGTCCCACAGCCTGCAAAATGCATTGTGAATTTTCACTCTTAAAACAGCCTCAATGACGCTAGTCCCTATGGGAGGCTTCCCCACAGTCCCTTAGTCCGCAATACGCCCTTGGTATGTTTTCATTCCTAAAATAGCTTCAGTGATACTAGTCCCTATGGGAGGTTTTCCCCAGTCCTGTTGCCCGCAAAAAGCTTTGGGTGTTTTCACCCAAATATGTTAGTCCTTAATGGGATGTTTTCTTTACATTCCCAGGCCATCGTTCTCCACAACTTCCATCAGCCTCAACAAGGATGGCTGGAGCTGTAGTTCAGGAACATCTGAACATTAAAGTTTTTTCAATATTGTTATAAACTTCTGTGATATCTCTTTATGGTACAGCAATATATAAATATTTTTAATAAATAAATAAACACCTGTAGTTCGGCAACATCTGCTCTAGATGAAATGAAGTAGACTATAAAACATTAAAAACATACACAACACAAACAACTAAAGAAACAATGCAACCAGTTAAAAAAAAAGAATCAACACTGGTAGAACTGTATAACAAAAAGAACCTCAAATGCAAGTTTAAGCAGAATCAGAGAAAAGGTATCCAGCAAGCCTTTACACTATAGCATTCCACAAATTGTGGAGGGAGCCACCACCAAGGAGGCTCTCGCTGCTAACTTGTGCTTCAGAATGTTTACAAGCACAAACAGCATCAAAAGCAGAATGGCAGATAACCACCCCAATATCACCATGAGCTCAAATCTTAATGAAAGCACCACAAATAGAACATCTGGAGAGAGCTGAAATGGTGAAGGAAAGCCTTCTCGGAGAGAACTGTGTTTCACTTTGTACATCAACATTCTGGAGAAGACCAATTGTTAGGAAATGAGCAATTTGAAGACATTAAGGGCTCTGCCAGACTGATGTTTCATTACTGGTATATTCTGAAACATATTCTTGACAGAGTAATGGTGCATTAGTGATGGATTTATCGTGCTTTTGTTCTGTGATGCTTCCACATTATTGCCATCCGACGGAGCTAAAGTGCAACAAATATAGGACAAAAATAAACCAGACTATTTGTGGATAAAAAGTAATGAAATTTCAGCAGCGAGTTACAGGATACGCACTGATTGGAAATGAAGCGCAATGTGACAGGCACAAACAGTATTGAAAAAAGGATTGTGTGTGACTGCCCTGATAGCATCAAGAGCACAAATCATCATGAATGTGCAATAAAAAGGATATCCGGAGGGGCCCTGATTCCCAAGGTGTGGTTTTATTACACAAGCAGCTTTGAGACGCCTCCTCCAAAGTCCCTTCGGAGAAACACAGCAGAGGCAGGGATGGGGGTGGCTTGCTTTCACAGCCTCCTCCACTGCTCACCTATAACGAGGCCGTTTACAAGGTGAGGTGTGCAGACATGCCCTGCAAAATTCATTTTTACAGCCTGTGTCGGGTCATAAAAAGGTGGTAAAAATTCATAGTATGGAAAACAAGCCCAGCTGTTCGTCTTTGTGGTGGAAGAAAGA